TCCTGCCCCGTCAACTTTCGCACTTCTTAACAATTTTATAGATTATCAAACTAAGGACCAGCAGTTACTTATTCACCGCCCTTCAGAATGTATTGGTCCACCGGTACGAGTTTACTATAACGTTTTTAATCAGTTCCTGCGTGATTACCGTAATGAAGAGCTAGAAATGGAAAAGAACATTATAATTGGACCCTTGAGTTCATTTACGAAATAGCAGAAATATACCGGAGTGAACCTGAACGTCAGCAAGTGTTTAACAAAAAAATTCGTAAACTATTTGGTGAAGAATTAAAAGTAATTCATTTAGATGATAATTCTTCAAATGATGGAGTATTGGAATGTAACGTCCATTCAAAAAGTGTGTTACGCCTTCTTGTTGAGATGAAAAATGAAATTGGTACTGGTGGCTGTGATCCAACTGTCCAGGCTGAGGCTTCTTATGCAAAATATTATACCCAAAAGAAAAATGGGGAAATGCTCCAATAGTGCAACTGGCCATCTTTTTTTTTATGCTTGGCCGGACCTTGGATGTGTATTTTAGGGGCTGTATATGTTGAGAAACCCATTATAGATCCTTTGACGGACTTCATACCTCTCATTCCTACAAATGATCGAGCTCACACAGAGCGAGTCGCACAGCTTTTCAAAGCCTTGTACTTGGGAGTTAATAAGTTAACAGAATATTATAGATCGTTAGATGTGCCTACAGATCCACGAAATTCACAACGATTTTTTCCCTATCCGAATCAATACGAACAACAGAATACAATCGTGGAATTTACATATGAGAGAAAACTTGTGGATCAACCCAACAAGCTTCTTTGGAAAGCTATAACAAAGACGGGCGGAAAATTATTGTTAAATTCACATGGGATTACAATCAAAGGGCACACGAACTGTGTAGCGAAATTGGAAAGGCGCCAAAATTACTCTACATTAACAAAGAAGTGGTGGATAGATTTTACATGGTAGTTATGGATTATGTTGAGGCCAAGCAACTTTACGAGTGTGACTCACTTAGTCATGATGAATATAAAGCGGTTTTCAAGGACATCAAAGAAGCTATCGACAAACTGCATAAGGAAAATATTGTCTTTGCTGACCTCTGTGATTCCAACATTTTGGTTAACAAATCTCAAGGCCAATATCGAGGAATATTAATAGATTTTGATTGGGCCGGTGAAGGAGAAGTCGCGCGCTATCCATCTTTCATGAATCATAAATATATTAATTGGCCACCAGGGGCTGAAGATAGGAAAAAGCTGAGTCGTAAACATGATGTTTATTGGTTGGAGTTGTTGAAATCTAAATACTTGGGTGAGAGTGTAGATCTTGAATGATTAGTTAGCATGGTATTTGAGAATAAAGTAGAAAAAAAACAATTATGTATGTAAGCTGTGCATATATTCAATATAATTTGTTTTTAACAATACTAGCAAGTCGATAAATAATAAAATTTACAGTAAGTTTTTAGTGATGATTGTGATAGAATTTATGCGTTTTATTTTTTGCTGTACAATAGAGCCGGCCCCGGTGGCCGATTTGCATACATAATTATGTTTCTTTTGCGTATATATTTATTTTATTATACTGTTATCAATGTATATCAAAAAATAATATGTATCACAGGCTAGTCCCGAACATTTGTATTTATTTTTCGCATGTATTAGCATAGAAAATTTGTCATGTATCAGGTTGACAAAGTCAACTGACTTTGTATTTGTTTTTTATTTCTGTATTAATAAAGTTCGTCTTTACATTCGCAACATAATATTGAATAATTCACATTCTTGTATAAAATTTTATTGATCATGACAAGTACTCAATCCAACAATTCATTAAGGGAATTAAATGCCAAGCTCTTAGCTGAGATTTGTGAGCTTAGGAAGAAGGTTGCTGAGGATGAGGTTGAGAAAACGAAACTGAGACAGGAGCTTAAGGCCAGAACTGATGAGCTGGAGGAAACTATATCACATTATTCAGTTGAGATTGGCAAACTTAACGCCATAATTGTGGAACTAGAGAAAAATAAGACAGTTACAGCTAAACTCGAGTCTGAAAATGCAGAGTTTAGAGATAGGATCACAAAAGTGGAGCAGAGACAGATGCTAAGTGATAATGTTTCTAAGGTAACCAATTCTTCCAATAACAGCTCGTCTAACTTCAATTTGCTTGCAGATCAGTTACCTATGGAAATGGATACTTCATTACCTGAAGAATCGATACCAGAAGGGTTACCAGAGCCAGCTGTTAATATACCTGTTATGGACCAATGTGATCAGACATCCTTGGAAAATAAGGAAACAGATTCTTTCTTGAATGAGGTGCATAAGAAAAAGGTTAGTGGTGAGATTAGACAACGCAATAGGGAGAAGAAACTCTTGCATGAATCGGCTAATCAAGAGACATCCTCAATTTCCCAGGATATTTCTTCTGTGAAGAGTCATGATGATCATATCATTTCTGCTCTATCAATCTCTTTTGAGGCTACGGAACAGATACCTTTGGTATCACATCCATCATCATTTTTAGGTACAACGCAAAACTTAGTCCATTTATTCCAGAATACAATATGAGCTAGACACGAGGTGATCTTATCTTGGCTCTATTATTCAAATAGTTTTGAAAATAAAGTTGATGAGATTCGCCATAATACTGGGGCTTCAGATAAAACAGCTAGATCACAAATATACAAAGAAATGCTAGAGCATCTATCCGGCATCACATTGGGAAACTTGCGTATAAGAACCCTACGAGCTAAAAAAATCCATATATTATTCGGAGAAGGTGGAGTGGGAATAGATAAGGTTAAGCAGGTTACTTTCAGTGTTTATGACATTTCAAGCCTTACTATTAATCAAATTCAAAGTGTTATCAAGAATGTGACTTTGGCAGGAAGGATACTGGAGGTACCAAATTGTAATCATGTGACTTCCGTAACGAATCGTGATGATCAGATTAATGCTCCTTTGATTTTAGCTGAGGTAACCACATTTCATGCCTTCAATTCAAAAGATAAGGTAAGTATATCATCCGATTCATCTCCAGAAAATGATCAAGATTTAAAATTACCGGAAGTTGAAGTAAATATATCTACCGAAGATACTGAGGATAAAGACGATAATAAGGAATCTTCCGATGATGATAACTCTGAGAATGAGGGTTCTTTCAATAACAATGAAGATGATGGAGGGTTCTGTGGTTTTTCTGATGATGATGATGATGAAGATTATTATTATGATTTAAATACTGGTGAAACTTATACAAAATCAGAACATCGTTATTCAATTCGCGCATATTAATAATGTAATAAATAAAAATTCATTTCGCAGAAAAATAATTAATACTTTGCTAGTTATATATTACAGTTTTGGTCAGATACACATAAAAATAAAAAATGGTGAGGCCATGGGACCCCTCTTTAATTCATAAAAATGTTGCCAGAACAACAATATACAAATATGAACTATTTATTAATTTTGATTTAGCCTTTCTTGTTGTTGTCCAGGATTCTCATACTCATTGAAATCATTTTCCTCACACCATTCTGAATTTTCTTCTGAAAAATTGTCCAAG